CGGAATGGAGGGGGAAGGGGAGGATGGTCAGCCACAGGCGGACACAGCCTCAGGGCCCCGGCAGGGATAGAGTTTTCAAGGAGGCACCCAACGCATCACGAACAGGAGGCTAAGACGTGACTAAATGGGATGACAAGTGGCACTAAGTGCTCGGACGATTGAGCGACTGGCTCTACCATAATGGACATCGCCCAGAAGCCCAGAAAATGCTCCCTGTTACATTCTGGGGATAGGCATCCGGTGTTGTAGGACGGCTGGTTGGCCGGACTGTGAGCTGATGACAGCAGCTGTGGCAGTCTGGTGCCACGCCAGTAGCGGGAATTATAAGTTTTGCTGGGAGGGAATCACATCTTGCCGGATCCTGGGACAGATCACGGTGATCGATTTGGTTTGGTTTCGTGGAGAGGACACAACGACGCGCGGAGCAAGGACGAAGGAGCAGGTTTCGTGGAGAAGGCGAGTCATCTAATCTCGTACATTCATGCGGCGGATTGAGAGGAAGATGCGTTTCCATCCGGAAGGGTGTACAAGGTTGGGCGTGAGAATTGATGGGCAGACGATCATGCTTACTCTCGCCTTGTGGGAGGGGCCACATGCTCTGCTTGGGCGAGGGGGGGGGGCGTGTGCCTGACCTGGGTATCGGAGGTGTTGATGGTGGTGAGGCTAGAGGGCTGAAAGGTGTAGGGTGATGGTAAGGAGTCTGAGCTGGCAAGTGTTGGTCTGGGGTATGCCGCACTGAGATAAGTGGGAAAAAGACTTCGGTCTGGATGGTTCATCCTGGTCAGAGGGTAGGGGTATGAATGCGCGAAGCGTCGCGTGAGGTTGTGTCTGTAGCCTTTGTGAGGGGGGCGGGGGGGGGGGGGACGCGTAAAGGGGTTCGGGAGTTGTGATAGTGGGAAAGGGTGAGACTTTTCCGGCAGGCGTGTGACGGGTTTGCTTCGCATCCGTGTGGCCGAGAACTTTCGCCATGTCTTCCGGTCGTCTATCACCCTGCCTGAGGGGCTGGCTTCCTGCAGGGGAAACCTGTTGTGGGAAGATTATTGGGACGGTGAGGACTTTCTACTTGGCCAATTGGTGTTTCGCAGTCCGAGAAGCAAGCCCGATCTGTCTGAACTGGATTCTCTTTATGTTTGGAGTCGAATCTGTTTGATCTCGGTTCGACGTCACAGTGGCGTCGATAGTTCTTTGTTTATGATGTTTCGCCGGAGGGCATCGTGAGATCAGCCCCCTTGCCAAACCCATCGAAGTCGGGGCCGCAGCCATCACTTTGTCTCAAGAATCTCTGGGTCCTGTGCCAGCGCGGTGGATGTGCTCTGAAACTGAGTGACTTGTTTGCCACAATTGAGATGATCATGAAGCTGAAAGAACTCTCTCTGTATGAGCCCCTGTAACAAGTCGTGTTTGAGGTATGAGGTCGTTCGCTGCTGGATATCCAGGAGTCCGGAATCCACTCGCACGTGCGGAGCCTTTCCAGCTGTTGCACCAACCAAGCCACATCTGCCTGCGTAAGCCACCGACATGTGCCACCCATGTGTGATCTGCCTTACCTAAGGTACCTTGGGTAGGGTAGGTAGAAACCTAGTACCTAAAGTAAGGTACTTCGGTGCCTTCCATTGCAAACCTCCCTACTTTACCCAAACCCATCCATATCTTCAAAAATGGTGCTTGTCGACAGTCCGTCATGGCAGCATCATGCCATACCTCAGAAAGACCAACGCAGATCAACACATTCCGGTCCGACTTTTGACGTTCTCGAGGGTACATACTACAAGCATGCGACCTCCAGTTAGAACTGCACGGAGATGTCGCTCAGTCTTCATCTAGGGATTCGGAGCGTGCTGAAAGCTTTCACCTAGCCAACCGCACAACTTGCTCCTAAACTACGCCAACAACCTATCTCGTCGTGTGTTGGAATGGAAGGCACGCCCTGGGAACAGCTCTGAACAATGCCGTCTCACTCCTCTCAACAGCACCTTGCGAGACTGAGCGGCTGCAACCTCAACAGTCTTGGAAAGAAGTACTTGTCTTCCCGCTGCGCTCTGCGGAGAACCCCATGTGTTGCCACGAAGATATGCGAAGACAGGATGCTATCGTCAAGCAAGGGATATGTGAGCCGCTGCATTGGCGTGAGACATCGGCTCAATTGTCAGCGAAAATGGGCGCGGCAAATCCAGGAGACTCAAAAACTCGTTTGCGCCTTAGTTCTCGCAGTGCCATCGCATTGATAGAATCTCGGTCGAATGGCCAACGATGACACCTCTTCCATTTACCGACAGCCCGAGAGCGTCGTGGACTCGGAAAGTCCTACACAGTCGACGACCTGCCAATGGCGGATCGTTGAGCCGATCCTGACTCATTGGTAGCCTGGCAGGGCTGGCAACTCGATAATGACTGCATAATAGTTGACGAATCAGCCCGGGGTGGTGTGAGCCTGCAGGACAGCGTTCGACCCAGAACGATCGCAACGCTGTGCGTTTTGCGCGCGCCTGGAAGATCGCAACATTTGCGCAATACTGAAAAGTGCCATGGGCGAACATTACCAGACTGAAGGTAAGATGAGAGGTAACCGAGACGAAGGGCGCGGTAAGTCGTGTGTGCTGCTATTCTTTCCAAGACCTCGCAATTGCAAGTCTCGTTCTCGGCCCGTCCTCGCAAGGCATGTGTTCTCCCCTAGAAGGATTTTGCTGGCCGGATGTCAGCTGAACCGGGGATGATCGTCCTTGAATGGGGAAATGAAGTCGGCAGCCTTCGGAGGTGAGCGATGCGGAGGCGGCGCCAATGGCAAGAGGATGGCCAAATAGGAGCCGGCCACCACCACCACCACTGGCAGAGTGCGCTGAGAGGGGATTGTTGGGTTTGGACTTTATGTCGTCACCAGACGGCTTGAGCTTTCCCCAGCCAGTCGTTCGCCTTCGATGTGATGGTTTTGAGGATCGAGAAGTGGCCTTTTCACGATGAACCTTCCCACAGCCTCTGACCTGTACACTAAAGCCCCCCAATCCAGCATGGCCGTCCCAAAGAAAACAATGCTGGACTCGGAATGTTAGATCGCCGCAGCTGTAGCACGCCCCAGGTATTGATGGTCCATGAAGGATGGTGAACATTCTCTCATCTCTGAAGTGCCGGTGGTCCCTCTCCGGACGGCGATCTCGCTTGCCCTTCGGGCGAATACCCAGGGCCATCCTCCGTGGGTGAACCCTGCTACGGCGCCCCAGACTCTTGGATTTTCAGCGCTATGGAGATATCGTGCCTCGCACATCACGTCAGTCCACAGTGGACCCGACTGTGAAGTTACGAACTAAAGAGCCACTTGCGCGGTTCAGTGGAGGGAGAATTGTTCGACTTCCAACTCCATACCGACTGAACCCCGATGGCTGTTCTGCGTCTCGCTCGCCGTTACTGAGTGTCTTGGCAAGGAAAGGGAGGGAGGATCACGCCCATACTGCGTTATCGGCAACAAGTCTGATTGTAGCTCACAGCTCGGTGAGACCCCTGGGCTAGAGCCATGTTTGGCATGGGCTTACTTTACCGGGGTTCAGGCTGCATACAGCAGGTCGATTAGCACCTTTTGGTGGTGTCACATCCGCACGTTGCCAGTACCAATGCCATTCGAGGATTTGCTGCTCTCTCCGCCAGGCGCAGCTATAGCCATCAACTACGGTTCCAGGTACGAACTTCAGGTTGGTACGTGTCAGAGGACGAAGATGGGCTTGACTCATAGTCCTGATACCGACGCAGCCGGAGGCTGTCTTGCCGCTATCGTCGAGTCGACTTGAGCACCGAACGAGCTGGGGATCCCAGACACAGGAACAGCTGGCTGAGAACGTGAACCCCCTCTAAAACCTTCGGTCATGGGGCAGTCTTGGCCAGCGGGAATTCACACCACCAATTACCCTTACCTAGTAGGTGAACGACCCGGCAAGCCAAGCCAGGCTTCTCACCGGGCACCGTGGCGATGCATGGTGCGAGCCTGTGCCTGAGCCTGTGCCTGAACTCGCGCTGGCGGGGGGCCCTGGGCACGCCATAGTGAGCCGGCCTCCAGGCTAAAAGAGTTCGGGGTGGGATTCCCTACTGCAACTGGACCTCCGCCTGTAACTGGAATTGGCTGGTCTCTCTCGGCTCGGGTGCCAGCGGCTCCATATCATCCCTCCATCGGATCGTCTTGATGGCCCTGCCGTGCGTGCTACTGATGCAACCTCTGCCTGGTGTCATGCCGAGCAACTCAGGTACTCTTCCTCCCTCCCGTCATTTGGGCCTTCCCTAGGTAGGCTGTTGGGCCTGGGCGGCGGCGCGCTTGTCAGCTGTTGATGCAGGTGAGAGATTGGGGCATTTGGCCTTGATCCCCCATCCTATCCCTTCCATCATCCTGCCGTTCGCTCGATTCCGAGTTGAGCTATCACCCGCCCAACCCCTGTCCAGTCCAGTCCAGGCCAGGCACGTACGCTGGGTGATATGCAACATACCTTACCTCACCTCACCTTGAATACCTTTTTGCCTCGCTACCTCCCTAGGCACGCATTGATCCTGATCTGACAGGGCGCCCATCTTGCTTCCAACCTTGCCTCCTTTGCTGTTGCCTCACCACTTCTTTTTTGGTCTCGTGTATTACGTTCTTGTGATCTGGTCGCAAGAGCACGACCCTTCTTCTTTAGACTTGCGACCTGAGCCTCATTCTTGCCTTGCCTTGCTGTCGTCTCCCTCCCCCCCCCTCTCTCTCTCTCTCTGGCTTGCACTTGATCGAATGGTGCCTTGCTCACCGTTTGCCCCGGCCTGTCTAGCTACGAGACCACAGAGGCCGTTTTGGTCAACTCACTCGCTGGCTTGCCTGCTACAGCCCATTCTCTAGGCACAGACCCCGTCGACCGAAGCTGCTCCATCCCGCCTGGTGGATCACGACCGCCAGAATCTCCTGCCCCCAAATCCTCAGCAAGCTGGGCTGTCTGGAAGCTCGTGGCCATCTTACCGAGAACGACCACGTTGGCTGATTGGCTTGTCTGCGTTATTCTGGTCGCTCGCATCAATCTCACGACGCTTGGCAGCCACTCGTCCTTCGGATCTCGAATCCCTCGTGTCCTCCGATCTTGTTTGTCATTCCATTTCGGTATGCCGCCTGTTTCTCATCCCTCTTCTCCCTTTCTCTGCCCTGCCGACCTTCCGTCCCTCTCCCTCGCCCTCGACCCTAGCTATCAGGCTCGCTTGAGCCAACCTTAATTGCCCGACAAGAACCATTACTTACGAAAGGCCCGTCGCCCGCCGGTCAGTTGCTCCGCCAGGCATACCACATCTCGCACATGCGGGCGGTCGTTCACAAGCTGCAATAATGATGAATGTCGCATCACGATCTTGAGCATTCCTAACATACAGACCAGTTCGCCTGATCATCCTTCGATTTTTACCTGTCCCACTCTCGTTTGTGGAAGAGCGATTGATACGACCTGCACACCACGCAGCTCGATACTCCTTCAACCTCCAATATTGATCTCCTCCCCGCGGCTACTGTCATGGTTGCGTTGAGGTTGTGCACGACGACATCAAAATTGCTATGAGTGGGGATCACCAGGCTTCCAGGCAAGACCCCACCTCCGCCTTCCTGCCTGCCTTGCCTTGCCTTCACTGCCCTGGCCTACCCACTCGACGCGAGAAGAAGTCTTCACGTTGACTTCGTCGCTTGTTCTCGGGTCTTACATTTCCGCTAACCTCCCGCTTCCCACAGCTTTGGAGATCCAAACGCTCAGCCGCCGACCCCTCTACAGACACCCACTTCTGCCGTCTTTCCTAGTCCTGTATTTCAGACGCCCAAGGCCCGACAAGACTCTTTCAACGACTCGAACGGCTGGACGCCTCGCTTTGCCGAGGAGTACTCCGTCTTCAACACCACACCGGGCAATCTTCAAGGCCCCTTTGGCGACTTTCACGGCGCCAGCCTCGCCTCCTGCCCCCCTTCGCTCGGACACAAGCGCCAGCTTTCTGCTGGCGGTGTGGCTGCCGAGATAGCAACGCATGTCAACCACTTCTCCGCGAACCCCAACCTCCCGCTACCACCCGTCGACCCAGCCAGGAGGCTCCCCTCTTCCCCTGGCCTGATCAAGCCGCAAGAGTACTCGGAACAGCACCAGCCCGCAGCGAGTTCACAAACAACTCAAAAACCGAGATCGACGAAGAAAGCCAAGAAGAAGGCTGGCGTGGAAGAGGTTGAAGGCCAGACCGCCACACCTCCGCCTTCCGCCCACAAGGGAGGGCGGAAGCTCGCTTTCAGCCTCAAAAGGGACAATATGCAGAACGATCAGGGCTACGGCCATCCGGACTTCGCCACGACCGGAGCGCCTCAACAGCAGACCATGTCTTTCGCATCAACTTCGGACATGTTCGACTATCCAATGTCCGCACCGGTAGCGCCGAATGCGAGTTTTTGGGATCCTTCGGCGGACATGGCGGGCATGGATTTGGATTTTGCGAGCTTCGGCACCGGTGTGTTCGGAACGCCCATATCCTCGCACAGGCAGCTGGGGTCTTTCGATGCCACACAAATGTTTTTGGACAACCCTTCGATACTGCAGAACCAGCAGCAACACCAACACCACCCCCAGCAACAAAATCGACAAGGCCAGGATCACCGTCAATCAATCCGGAGGGACAGGCCGCTGGCTCCCAAGCAGGCCATGCCGAGAGGTGGAACGCTGACCTCCAGTGCTAGCATGCCATTACACTCGTACTCAGGGAGCCTTGACGACCCGTTTGGCATCATCAGCCCTAGTGGTGTTGGTGTTGACCCAGGTCTACTCTTCAGCCGACCTCAGTCCTCAGACATGGACGCAAGCTTTGGCGTGAACCAGACCGAATCTCTCTCGCATTTCTCCATGGCCGATGTTGCCCAGACTCTTTCCACGGCACCTATGCGGCAAGATATGCGTCGATCGGCCAGTACAAGGGAAATATTGCCTAATCAAGGACCCGACCGTGCTTCAGCGAGTTCGCCCAACAAGATCGCAGGCCGCCCTGGAGGTCTGCAAAGGAGCTTCAGCGAGAATCGAGGACGGCGACAATTGCCGGTTTTGGCGCCAGCCATACGCCCGACGCCCGCCCAACCCGCGGCCACCGGCTCGAACAGACCACCAAGCGTTCGATCCTCGGGGAGGATATCACCATTAAAAAGCCATACTCGTCTATCCAGTCTCACCTCGATCCCCGAAACAGCACCGCCACGAACCAGGACGTCCGTCAAGTTCACCATCGACTCCAAGGGTCGAGCACGTGCAGAAACAACCATGATAGTAGAGGAGCCTGGCACGGCAGGTCCGGCACGGAGGAGACCGTCGCACGAGATGCCACGCCGAGAACGAAGTTTTGAATCCGAAGATGAGGACTCCTCAACCGATGACGAGCCAATCATCATCCCGAGCCGTAATGCATCATTTGCCTTGCCCGACCCTCATAAACCCATTGCATCTGGGTTCAACACGTCGCATCGTAGTGTCAGCGAACGGAATCTGGCTAGCTTCGCGAGGCTGAGCAGCGACGCTTTCGGCCAGGATCCAGAGAGTGACGCTGAAACTGTGATGAACGACTCACAACGCGGTGGACGAACGGCGGACACGAGCGGTGACGCGGCAAGCGAGCTGCGGCGCGTGGTCGAGAGCCGACAGAAGCTGGGCACCCAGATGCCCGGCAGCGCGCAGCGGTCTCACCGATTCAGCACGGGGAGCTTCCCAGCGCACACCGGCTCACCGTCGAAGGGATCAGAGCGAGGTTTCCCCACACCATCGACGGACGCCGGCAGCCGTGCTGTTCGATGCGTCTGCAACCGAAACGGCGATGGAGAGGGGTTCATGGTTCAGTGGTAAGTTTTGATTCCAGAGAAGGTCACAGTCTCGTTTACTCATCATCTGTGCAGTGAGTCCTGTGAATTGTGGCTCCACGGGCTGTGCATCAACATCGCCTCACGACGAATGCTGCCCAGCGTGTACATCTGTGCCTTCTGTGCGAACACGCCGAACATGAGGGGCGGACGAATGCGAGACTCTAATAGAGGCTCGGGGCAAGCGACGGTAGGCGCATCGCCGCTGGCACACAAGTCCTTCAAGTCGTTCCGGTGACCAGGCGCCTCATTGGAGTACCTGGAGTACCAGCTCCAGCGAGCTCCAGTAACAAGTCGGACGCAGGGGAGCGCCGCAACGACGCACCAGATGGGATCACGAGTACATACGAAAACCCAAGTAGCATCCGGGGCATGATCTACCGGGGATCTTAAGGAAACATATATGAACATAGCGAAAATTAGAATATTCCTCGTCTAAGTTCGGCTGTTTTGCAAGTGTCGTCCAGCCGAGGTGCCGCGTCCTGTTTGTGGCATGCACCTGAACGCCGAACAATAGGACGGAGAATAGGGGTATAGCTGAGTCAGCGGGTCCATGGCGGGTTGGATCGGGGCACAAGCTCTCCGATGTCGGGATGCGGGGTAGCTGGAACCCGAACTCTGTGCGTGACGCGGGGCAGTTATTGGGCAGAGCAATTCGTTCTTGCTTTCTTGCTTCGACACGAGCCTCGTCTTCCTCTTTCTCTCTGCAACTACACTTCCCGTACGAATTGAAACGAATAGCCATTTCTTGAATACCCCATTTGGAGCAGTTTCAATTGCGTCTACTCTACTTGACCTCCTCTCTCCGACAAACCCGTACATATTTTCTATCACCGACACAGCTTCAATATGGCGACCACCCACGATATTGTGGTGTTCGGAGGTGACCACTGCGGTCCCGAGGTTGTTGCCGAGGGCATCAAGGTATGGATAGTTTCCCATGAACTCAAGTTCACGATTGTCATGGTCCTTGGTTGACTGACATGTTTGTACCAGGTCCTGAAGGCAGTGGAGGCAAACAGCTCTGGAGTCAAGTTCAACCTCCAAGAACACCTCCTCGGTGGCGTGAGTTCTCCCACAGATTACAACCCACACGCTCTGTTGCTGACAGATGAAAACGACAGGCCTCTATTGACGCCACCGGCTCCCCCCTTACCGACGAGGCCCTCGCGGCCGCCAACGCAGCTTCGGCTGTGCTCCTCGGCGCCATCGGCGGCCCCAAATGGGGCACCGGCGCCGTCCGCCCGGAACAGGGCCTCCTCCGCCTCCGCAAAGAGATGGGTGCCTATGGCAACCTGCGCCCCTGCAACTTTGCCTCCGACGCCCTCGTTGACTTCTCCCCGCTCAAGGCTGAGGTCTGCCGCGGCACCGACTTTGTCGTGGTTCGTGAGCTGACCGGTGGCATCTACTTCGGCGACCGCATCGAGGACAACGGTGATGGCAAGGCTATGGACACGGAACCCTACAGCCGGCCAGAGATTGAGCGTGTGGCGCGTCTTGCGGGTTTCCTCGCCATTGCGCGCGGCGACAAGACGGTGTGGAGTCTTGACAAGGCCAACGTGTTGGCGACGAGCCGACTGTGGAGAAAGGTCACGACCGAGGTGTTTGAGAAGGAGTTCCCCCAGCTCGAGATCAAGCACCAGCTCATCGATTCTGCGGCCATGATGATGGTTAAGAGCCCGCGCGCTCTCAACGGCGTCGTCTTCACGAGCAACCTCTTCGGTGACATCATCTCCGACGAGGCGAGTGTCATCCCCGGCAGCATTGGTCTCCTGCCCAGCGCGAGTCTCAGCGGTATCCCCGACGGCAAGGGTCGGTGCAACGGCATCTACGAGCCCATCCACGGTAAGCCTTCTTCCTCTGCAGCATACGTACCTTGCTCTCTTACTAACAGTTTCCAGGCTCCGCGCCAGACATCTCCGGCCAGGGCATCGTCAACCCCATCGGCACCATCCTCTCCATCGCCATGATGCTCCGCTACTCCCTCAACCTGCCCAAGGAGGCCCAGGCGGTCGAGGACGCCGTTAAGAACGTGCTCGATGGCGGTCTTCGCACCAAGGACATTGGAGGCAGCGCCGGCACCGTCGAGGTCGGTGACGCCATCACCAAGGAGGTCGTCAAGATCCTGTCGAGCTAGAGAGAGCGGGATGCGGTTGATCTCGCGAGGGAAAGGCAAAGAGGCTGTCGATGAGGCGGGAGTAGGTTGTGACAGATCATCTTTTGGACTCGTTTTTCGGCCGCCGGGGCCGAGGCATGAAGCGGCCAAGAGATACGCGAGGTCACCCCAGCCTGTCAGGATGTGGTAGTCCGGTCGGTCGGCGTCTCATGGATGATTTTTTTCCAGTTTGAATAGTAGTGTTAGACAAAAGTCACGAATGCCCGTGGGGGTCACACGAATCATCATGCTGAAGTTGAGAAGTGCGCATGTCGCCCGGCATGCTGGCCCCCGATTCGGTCGGGTTATGGTGTGTATCCTACGCTTCCAGCCTCGTGTTCCAGAGGATCAACGTTTCAGAGACACTATCGTCAAGACAAAGTCGTTAATGTATTCTAAAGCATAGCCACGCTCACATGGGCCACGGTCTTCCGCAACTTGGAATTCAAGGCATATCTGCATCCGCGTCATTGAGGAGACGAGCAGGAGCATACCATGCGCGCACTGAAGATTGCATGTCGTGCCTCGACACTCGCATGGCTCGAGCTTTGAAGAATAGGGGGGAATGGCATGGGACAACGTTGGCCACTGTAAGGACTCGGTTGAGCCTGATAGTCTTCTTGATCACTGCAACAAACCGACACTACGGGCCTTCACATGTGCGATTGTGCTCCTGACGAGGCCCCAAGAGAGCTCGTCCAGTTTACATACGTAGATGCAATTGGCTACTACGGCACTGCAGTCGAGGTACATGGCACCAACAGGCCCGGCCGTAGGCATCTTTCATCGTATCGCATCTCGAGACCTAGTCTAGAAAAGTTCCTGCAGAGCATCATACAGTGTCGTCGCTGTCTTGACCTTGTTCACGTCGTACAGCTGCTCGTCGGCCAACTCAAAAATGCCACTGCTGGCTTGGAGCTCGCCGGCGAGCGGCGCGTAATCCCACGCCCGGCCCCGGCCGAGCTGCTTACGCGACTCGTCAATTTGCTGCCGCAGCTCGTCGAGGCTACCGGCCTTTTTCGATGTCGTAGGGCTTCCCGCTGACGCGCCCGTACGCCTCGGCGATTTTCGGCGATGGTGCTGCGCCAGACGGGATGTAGAAGAAGCGCCTGGCCGTCCTGCACACCTGGCCATGGAGGAGGACGTCGATGGTGTAGGCGGCAGCATCATCCTGGGTGACCCAGGGGTGCTTCGTCTTCAGACCAACGTCGCCCCAGTAGCGGAAGACGGTCTTTTCGGGCCCGACGGCGGGGGCGCCGGGGCCGAAGGGCGTCAGCATGTAGCTGGAGAAGATGCCGGTGAAGAGATAGACGGGACGGATGGTGCTTGTCAGGGCAGCCTGAAGCTCAAAGGCGATGCGTATATCATAGTGCTCAAATGCGCCATACTTCATCCGCGTCCAGTCGTTGTTCCATGAGGAGGCGATGAAGACCTTGATGCCGGCGCGCTCGGCGGCGCGCAGCAAGAGGAGGGAGCCGTCGAGGTTCAGGACATCGATCGGCGAGTAGGCGTTGATGATCGAGTCGACGCCGACGACGGCCTTGTCGAGGGCGGGGATGTCCTCGTGGGAGGCCGACTGGACGAAGGACTCGAGGGAGGCGGCAATGGTGGGGTCGAGCTTGTCGGGGTTGCGGCCGAGACCACGGACGGCGAGGCCGCGGTCCAGGGCGGTCCGGGCGAGGCGCTGGCCAAGGGAGCCAGTGATGCCGGCGATGAGAACGACCATGGTGGGATAGAGGAACAAGGGTGAGGGGGGGAGCACTCGGTACGCCGGTGATGCTATGGTCCAGAAGACGGCGGAACGGTCGTCTCCAGGAGGCGATGATGGGGAGCGGAGGTCAAAGTCTCTTTGGGGAACGGCATCATTACTGTCCAGTGGACATGCTTTTAACGATCCGTCCCATCATCGACCCGTCTAGGAGCTAGACGCGTGAGGAGGGCGATAGGATGGTCCACGTAGCTGTCGAAAAGCTTCCGAGGCGGAGTCCACGGAGTCTGGCATGACGTCTTTCTGGGATGTCCAATCTCAGCGGTCGGAAGAGTTGTGCGTACGTTACGCGGACTTGAAGTCTCCACTACCACGAGGTAGACAGCGGACTTCTCGCATGCCGGCTGCATTGAGGTTGTTGCTGGAGATCGCAATGACAAAGCAAAGTCCGCTCCGATGCTGATCCAGCATGAAAGCAGGCGTGGCATGGCCTTACGTTATAGTATGCACGGTATCTCCGTCGTCGGTCCCAGCAAGCACTTTTTCGCCTCGGGAGGAGAGGGTTCGAGATGGCTTGCTTGGGTGCTGCCAGAGCGATAGAGGCCTCATGGCTTGCCAGGTTTCTCATTGGTGTCTAAACGGTCGAGACATTTGCTTAAGTAGAGCATGTCGATTGAGGATGAAGCTGTACATGATACGAAAGATCAGCTTTGTGCCTCAGCGGCATTGGAGAGGGCAGAGGGCAGGGGAGATGCAGTGCAGTACACAAGCAGGCAGGCAGGCAGGCGCAGTGCAGTGCACAGGCAGGTATCTTGGGGTTGTTGCGGCAGGTGGGTACGGCACATTAGGCAAGTAGGCAGGCAGGTTAACGTTTGGGTGCCTGGATCGGGCGCTAACCCGGATGGTCTAGCGTACGTCCCGCTCCAAGTGGACACTCTGCATTCCTCGACGGCAGTGACGAAAGACGAAAGGAGAAAGACGAAGACGGGAGGCACGGAGTGCCGGAAGCCTTGGGAACTGCGACCTCAACGCTGCATCATCACCACCACCACCACCACCACCACCACAACCACATCATCATCCACCAGGCATCGGCATCGTCTCAAAACGCCAGCCAGCGTTATCGCATCCGCATTCTATGGGGGACGCCCGTACGCCCACAACCACGACGTCATGTTCCACATTGTGAGCGCGTCGTCTGTCGCGCCCTCCGTCGTCTTGACCTTGCTCGCCCTGCTCACCATCTCTTTGGTCGTCCTCCTGATCTTGCGCTTCTACCTGCCCCTACGGACGACACCAGCATTCTATCTCGTCCCCATCTTCTTCGCACTCTGGCTGCCAGCATGCATGGTCCTTCTGGTCCCCGTCGACCTGGCCTCCGGTGCCAAGACCGACGATGAGGCCACCCGCGGTGTTTGGCTGCCCGCCAGGGTGCTGCTCGTATCCTGGAGGATCACCTACTGGCTCACGTTCGCCCTGACATGGTTCGTGAACCCACTTGCCAACGACTGCTCTGCCGTTGCTGACATGATGCGAACCGCAGGTTTATCCTCCCCGTCCTCGGCGAATACTCCGACGCCGGCTACCGCGACCCAAAGACAATGTTCTCTATTCTCTGCGTGCAAATGCGCAGAATCACGCCATGGCCTTCGGGCTGGACTCGTCGGTCTCGTCTACCTCGTCACGTCCCACGGCCTCAACTTCGCCTCTCTCAAGACGACCATCATGGCGTTGGCCTATTTCTGGGGCCTCATCTTCGCCATCTACCTCATGGGCCACGGCCTCGTCTCGATTCCCCGGCGCCTCTTCCGTTTCGCCTCCATCAGCGGCAGGCTGCGCCGCCTCCAGAACCATGCGCCCAAGGTGCACGAGCGCATGGAGGATTCACTACTGACGCTGGAGGACATTGAGGTCCAAATCTCCGAGTTGAGTCGTCGCAAGGTCGGGAGCGCTCGGGACTTCCAGGAATGGATTGACGAACTGGTCGAGATGGCCAACCTACCCGAGTCGCAACCACGCGCTGGCATGCGCGGATCTGCCGAGAGCCGCGTCCTACCCACCGTCATCACCGCAAAGTACATGGCCGACCTGACGCGGAAGCTGACGCGCGCCCGTCATGCGCGGTCACGTTACACCGGCGAGTGGAACCATCTCGTGCAGGAGGCGGCTGCAACCCAGGCGATCCTCGATTCGGCAGCCTCCAAGAAGCTCGACTTTGGAGAAGCGTCTCCCCACGCTGGCTTCTGGGATCGGACGACCATTCTGACGCCATACTCTCGTTACATCTTTTACTACCACATCCAGCCCTACGGCAGCATCCTGATCGGTCTCTTCCTCGCCGCTTGCTCGGCATGCATCGTGTGGTCCGAACTCATCAAGGCCGCGTTCCCCAAGCTCTCCGTCATCCGTATCAGTGTTGTCCATCACTGGGTCGGCGACAAGGGCCAGGTCGGCTTTGCTGGTCAGGTCATCTCCATCATGTGGCTCTTGTACATGTGCTCGGCTGCCTTTATCACCATGACCGAAGTCAAGACGTGGCGGAGCCGTGCGCTCGTCAAACGCAACACGGGGTACGAATCGGCGTTCTGGTACGCGGGTCAAGTCGCCAAGCTCAGCGTCCCCCTGTCCTACAACTTTATGACGTTTCTGCCCAAGGTCATCTACGAGAAGACGCTGTTCTACCACATCCTGGGGCAGTATATCAACCTGACGCCGCTGACAAGCTTCATGGACTACCTCTTTCCGATTCTCGTGCTCGTCCCCGTTCTCGCCACACTGTTTGGTCTCTACGGCAAAGTCCAGCGGTTCTTCGGTTTTGGCGTCGACATCATCGAGGATGAGGACGAAGACAGCCAGCGCACGTATGGCGCAGGATCGTGGCGTGAGGGTCGTGACCTGATCGAGCGCGATCTCGGCGGCAACTCGAGCGCCCGGCGCCGTGAGGAGACGTTCGCCCGTCTGGGCGCTGCTGCAGCCGCCTCTGCTGCCCGGTCCGCCCCTGTTCTCACTGTGCCGGGCGGGGCGTCCTCACCAGCGCGATCTCCCGTGCGTGCGTCGGCGCAGGACAGGCGCGAGAGGGTGTCACGACCGGCGTACACCGATGCGGACGCGGAGGACCAAAACTTCTTTGAATCACTGGGCCATCGCATGAAGAATACCATGGACACGTTTGAAGCTCCCAACTGGTTCCAGGACATCAAGAAGCCCAAGTGGATGGGTGGAGACGATGACGGAGCGCACGGCTGGCAGCAGCAGCGGCGGGGCCGGTGGCGGTGGGCCGTCTCG